TTTATGTGAGGAACATACAGACATTTGCATCATTATTTACTGAAAGCCTATTTAACGTTCATGAGAGAAAGCCGCGATGACGAATTTATAATGAATCTTTCTTTTGAATAGAATCTTTCGAATCAGATCACTCACAAATTTGTTGTTCTTGGTTCTTGAATCCAACTCATTGACGCAAACGCATTTTAAAACGTAAAGCTAGCTATTGTATCGTTTTGAAGAACATCCTGCCCACTCGTTTCCACATAATTCAAATGGGCTATAAAGTTCCAAATGACTAAAAAAACACCATAAATGCATCATAAAAGTGGCCCATAAGACTCACGTGTAATCTTCTGAAGTCATAAGACAATTTTAATTTGAGGAACACATAGCAGTTTACATCATTAATGAAAATCTTCTTAATGTTCATGAGAGAAACTAGCAATGACTCATTTTTAAATCTTTTTTTTTTCCCAGGTCAAATCTTTTGATAAATCACAAATCTGGTTCTGGAGGTGTTGAGTTCAATTCAATGACTCAAACGCAGCGATTTAACGTGAGTTGAATCTTAATTAAAAGCTATAGTATGGCTTCAAAGACCTATAATGTAACTAGTTGAATAGAATCAGTTTTAATCATAGTTTATTGGTGCTTTTGTGTCCATCCCCATTGTAACGTCATGGAAAAGAATGACCACAATTATTACATTTGAGTAAGTAGATGACAACAATTTTTATTCTTGGGTGAACTATCTCTTTAGGGCTGATTCGTCATGGGAATAAAGCAGTACAGTATCTCTACAAATTTACACCCACCCTTCATCTCTCAGACCATATAATTATCTCAATCATGGGCGCAATTTAATCTGCCGACTACACTATTATGCGGAAGATGACTTAAATGTCCCATCAGGCCAAAGCAAGAATATTGTGTCCGGCTGCAAACACAGCTATTTATACCACTGTTTTAGGACACTGAACGTCAGTAGAGGACATGAATCCTGCGATGACAGCTCTAGTGCAACTGATGAGATCAAAATGTTGTTCAGAGAAATCAAAGCGAGGATAGTACACTGCAACACTGCAAACAAGACTGACAAAAAGTTGGCCTGAATTGACTACTATTCATATGGGTAGGTTTTTCATTTGGTAAAAGTGCAACTTGTAAAAGTGGGCATCTGTATAGTTCAGTTGCTTTGATACTTTCAACTCGAGATTCAATTTGACATTGAAAGTACATTTGTGAAAAACTAATTTACCTGACCAGCTCATGGTAAACTCTGAATAGGTCTTAACTTGCGCAGAACAAACAAGAGCAGCAGCACCTGTCATGCCGTTCCATTTGCAGTGGGTCATCAAACCGTTTCGCATTAATGGTCCAATCAAAGAAGAATGTTTATAGTCAGCAGCTGATGAAGGCTTATGTGCGTCGTTTTCATTAGCTGATTCGCTGGCAGTAACCCGAGTCCTTCCTCTACAGTCAGGGTGATTTTGTTTATGTTCAAGGAGCCAAAACAGACGGCTGTCGGCATACAGAAAAAGCTGAGTAATCTTTGCAGAGGGAATGCATACCACATGTAGCCTACTATTTGCATTAGCATTTTTCAACTTTGTCAAATTTTCGCTTAAATCCTTGAACATAAACTTTTTATTTTTAATGCTGACTTTTAACACTGCCATAAAAGAAACTGAAATATCTTATTAATTTGAAATGAATAATTAAAAAAAAAACACATTTAATAATAAAACTGATTCTAAATTCAGATGAGCTGCACTTGAAACCTAAAATGACCTATATTACTTGGCTGAAGAGGTCTTATTATTGTTGTTGAAAATTAATTTATTACAATTAAGAATAAAAAAAATAGAAAAAAAATAAAACAAATATTATTATTGTTGTTGCTGAAAATTTTATAAACAATTAAGAATAAAAATAGAAGAAATAAGAAAAAAATAAAACAAATATAAGAAAAAATACAATAGAGTTGTTTTTGATGTAGCAGTAATAATAATAATAATAATAATATCATTGTTGTTGTTGATGAGAATTTAATTACAATTAAGAATAAAAAATTGAAAAAAGAAAAGAAAAAAAATACAATATAAAGCCGTTTTGTTGTAAGAATAATACCAACAACAACAATCATGCAAATTTAATAATAAAAAATTAATACAATAATGATAATGAAATTAATAACAATAACCGTAATATTAATAGTGCTAAACATTTAATAATACAAATAATAATTATTATTTTTATTAAAAATAATTATGTTAAAGAAATTGTAATTATATATAAGAAAAAATACAAATTAAAGTTATTTTGGTTATAATAATAATAATAATATTAACGATTATTTTTATTAAAAATAATCATGCTAAAGAAATTGTAATTATATAAGAAAAAATAAAATTGGTTATGGTAATAATAATATTAATAATAATAATAATAATAGCTAAACATTTAATAAGACTAATAATAATAATAACAATAACAATAATTCTGCCAAGTCAAATACTTCTACCGACACTTCTGCCCCAAACAATCTGCCAGAGAAACAGGTGATCCCACTAAACTCATGCTATTGGTTGAACAACAATTTGACACGTCTGTATGTTCAAACAAACAGAGGAATTTTGAAAGTGCCACAGTGTACACTATTCAGAGAACGTCAACACACAACTTTGCACATTCAAGTGGAATTATAGTAAGTATTTTCAACCCAGTCAGATGTGCATTATTAATTGTAAACAAAACTAAAATGAGTGATCCCAGAACTCGGGTTCTGTGTGTTGAGTAACAGAAGCCTGATACCCAGAAGGGACCTTGACACTTTCCCGGGCGTACAGTGATGAGCTGACGCAGGACATGCTAACAACAGCTCCTGGTACAGCATCCATCTTCACCTCTGTCCTGTTCCGAGTGACCCGGTCAGTCATTATCCGACCTGAGACGTATTTCGCAAGTTCGGGTTTCAGGGCTGAGTGCGTTTCCACCCCACCATTTGTTCCCAGGCTAAAATAAGAATTAGCAGCTCTTGCTAATTGCAGCTGTGATCAAGGCCTTAGGATTTTATTTTAGTGCAAATCCATGAGAGGTAATTGGTTATGACAAGAATCTTTCTGCAGTTTAGAGATTTTTTTGGACAAACACCAGGATTGTGATTGTTCAGAAAGTAATTCTCATCTGAACTGACATGAGTTTACAAGGAGGAATTGTGCCAAATTAATTTTTAAAATCTTGCCTGAGCACTGTTAAGGGTTACAGTTTGACACTTTGTGTAGTAATTTGGCACAATGGAAGCTTGTTTGGGAGAACAGTTTGAAGTAAAATTACCATGCCACAGTAACTGTGAGCTTATAAGGAGAGAGAAAAAAAAAGGAAAATCAGGAGTCTAGCTGGGTAAAATGAACCATTATAATGAGAGCAATGAGCTTGGCATAACATTCAACACCATGTTGGAATATGGTCTTGTGGCCGACCATGTGTAAAACAAACTGTTGTAATTTGTGAATTAACTCCCATCGGAATGCATTGGACGTTTTTATTGCAGAGGAGGCATGCAAATGCTTTTCTACATCACCATAAAAACTGAAAATATCATCTGAATATATGAACATCAACTTGGCCATGAAACTAATGCTGATAAATTGAGTTTGCAATGGTGATAAAATGTTAGTTCTTTTACAAACAATTTAAAATAAATAATAAAAAGTGAAAAAGCTTCACACACACACAATATGATGTTTAAACACTAGAGGGCAGTATATGAAACAGGACTTAACATGCCACTGTGACAACACATCATATCAAAATGGAGTTAAATGCACCGAGTCATGTCAATATTGTTGTTCCACAGATAGCAAGAACAGCATGAAACATATTTGAAAGAAATGATCATGCATCAAAAAAGTTGTAGACACAGCACAAGAAAACTAATATCTAATGAGTGCAGCATTTCTCAGATAGCTGGACAATTTGCCATCAACTCTGACGCATCCAAAGCAAAAGACTGAACTGATTAGATGATGGTGCGAGATGTTCTCTATTCACATCCTGCCCCCCTAGCATTACTCGACATTTCCCTCGAGTACGGAGCTCTATTTAAAAACATTTTTGACCTTCATGTTTGACTGGGCTAAAGAGTAAGAGGCTTAAGACAAGAAACAAAACACCCCTTCCATTGCAAACTGCCTACCACCCCCCACCATCGCTAATGGACTCGGTTACTACACTACAAATCACAACATAAAGAGTTGATATTCCATTCTCAGCACTGAGATCCAAGGAAGAAACCCAGCTATTCACTTCTGACCAGAATGATAGGAGTCACAGAGCTGTGGCAGACAGATGGAAAAGAGATAAACCTCTGGTCCGAGCCAAATGAGCCACTGAGAGCGTGCGCAAGAGAGGGAGAGAGCTAGAGGTGTTATGGACTTCTCCCAAATTGACTGTTCCCTGGGCAACAATTCATTGCTTAGCAACTGTCACATCTGATAAAACATGCATCAGAATAAATAAATATAAAACACTACTTTCATACTTTGACAGCTTGGATTTTACCTTCAAGCATAAAAAAATGAAAAAGAAAAGTTGTCAAAATGTTTAATTCAATAATTATCACTGTAAATTAACAGGGCTAGTCACCAATGGAGGTCTAGATCAGTCACAGACCCCACTTTATTAATATCGATAATATCATGTACAGTATACATATACAGTATATACAGTCTATATATAGACTTGCAGATTATTTACATTTGCAATCCTTGAATCACTGACCACCAGTAATCTACGTACCAGTTTGAGAACCAGTGTCATTGTTTGGGCCTTAATCATGATCGCGTGTCAAGTTCTGCCAAGTAATTTTTCGAAACTTTTAAAGTTCTCTGTGCACCATACCACTGCCATGTTCATTCTATAAAAGCTTCTCTCAGTCGTTAGTAAATGATTCCTAACGCTGTGGGAAATACAGGCAGATACCTTAGATGCCAAACTAGTGGCTACTGAGAGTCACTTAAAGTTCCAGCTCAAGCGTGACTTCCTGCCCTTCTATTCAAAAAAAAAAAAGTGATCTGGCAAATCATTAGAAGAATTATTAGCTGAAAGGTAACACTCCCAGCTCAAGCTACAATGATAAAAGTTCACGATGGGGTCAAATGTTTGGTCAGAACTGCAAAGGTTTAATTTGGCTTCCTCCTCTATAGGTCCACCATACAAGTTGTATTCTATCTTTGGTTCTTGCATGTTAATCAACTTACTCTACAATATTTCACTAGCATTTGGCTGATATTTAAAAAGACAACAGGGCTATGATGCGTTACATTCCTGTTCAAAGTAGGTTTTTTGTGAGGTCTTTTGAACAAACAAAAAAAAAGCAATAATAAAATAAACAGCAATGGTAAATAGCTTCCCTTATGCCTTTGGGAGCCAACAAATCCAAGCCGTCTCCATTAGGGCAACAGCTGCTGATGAAGCAAGCACCATGAAGAGTAGGTGAAAATGGCATGACTTATCCTTGAACTTGCGGAGGAAACTAGAAACCTGCTTTGAAAAATAAATAAAAATAATAGAACAACTGCACCTCGCATTTGAGTCGCTTGGTTAATCGTATCCGCTTGAAAAGTGGCATTAGCACAATGCTAATCCACTATATCGAAAAACAAACATTCCATCTATGCAGGTAAATTCAATTAGAGCTAATTATCACATTATTCTTTTGTACAAAAAGAATTAACGTCTTCAAGAGGCCAAAGTCCGACCATCATTATCTAGGCTCAAACTGACCACTATCAGAAAACATTCTGCACAAAAACAACTCTGGCTCCATGAATAATGTGCTAATAATAATGAAAAAAAAAGTTTGACCCTGAAGTCCCCTAGCAGTCTTCAGCATTAGTGACACATCAGCAGTACCCGCTGGGTTTTTGGCTTAATCTCCCTAAAGCCTCTAATGGCACGGCAGAATGACAAATATTTAAACGCCTCAGTGAATACAGCCACGGCTAAAATTACACAGAGGGGTTCATTTCTTTTTTTACCAATATTGTTGAAAAGTGTAAACAACATCTAGAGTGTCACACATACACCAACGCATGCGAACATTCAGTTCTATAAACTAAGAAATAGCGTCAAATGTTGCAGATATCACATCCCCATAAGCGGCAAGGTGACTTCATCACACACAATACCACAGAATCCCTGTCTAATCCAGACAGACAGCGTCTATAAATTATAACCTACACCTGTGGGACATGGACTTCCTAAAGCCAGAAGAGCTTTAGCGCGTTCGCGGTCTCTCTATGGAATTCTCCTGGCACAATTGCATTGTGGGATGTAACTGTCACTCAGCAGTGGTCTTTGTTTAGTTACATAATACCATAAATATCCCAACGTTTGAGAGGCAAACTCAAGGATTGTTAACCATACGTGGCCGTTTTTTAAATGCCCTCCCTCCCTTTGGGTGAACTCCCCAACTGGATTCTGGCCTGACAAAAAGTAACTGAGGCAAGTGCACCCTAGGCCAATGGGATGTAAATCAGTCCAGGGTGCACAAGTCGTCTAGGGTGGTGTGGTGGCTTTCTGTGGGGGGTTGATGTTGTGATTTTATGCAGCTTCTTTAGGAAGCTTATGGCATGGTTTTTATAAGTGTGTGTCTGTGGTGTTGCATGTGTGGTAGACTTAGAACCGGCCAATGGAGGATATCCAAACTAGCCTCAGCCTCTTGATGTGTCCATCCACACCACACAATATGAATAGCATGTTATGCCGGGAATGCACAAGTGAAAATAAACCCTATTCATGCAAGCATGCAACGGGATCCCTTTGATCGGCATGACACAAAAGCTAGCAAGTATCACCACGGCACAAGTGTGCATCCTTACCCTATCCATGCTGTCCACAGTTCAGGTCGTTATTCTCCCTTGAGTGCTGTTAAACTGCATCAGAACAAAACAGCTGTAAATCACCATCTAAACCCCCATTAGCGTCAGCTTGGTTGCCAAGTTCAGACAGTGATGTTTAGTCGCAACAATCACAGGAACTTCACACGGTGCAAGAACATTAGCCTGCCATGATGGAAAATTAACAAAACTGTTGAACGCCATAGCTAGGCATGCACGGGAAGCTTGGAGAAGCATATCTTGTAAAGGCGGCTGCCTACAACTACAAATTTATGGCTGCTTGGCCATCTCCCAACCTTTTAATTAACACTTTACATTGGTAGAGTGACTTCTGCCTGCTGCAGAATTTGTCAGCGGGCCAAATCTCTTCTGGTCTCTTGGTCCCGTTTTCCAAACCACTTACTTGCAGTCCTTACATTTTGCTTATAGGATTTCAGTTCAGTTTTAGTGTTTTTGAAAGCCATCTTCAGCTTGGGACCCCGAAAACACCACCAGATATACTTGCAAGGCACAAATGGATACACAAAAGATGTATTTTGAAAAATGTCTCATTGTTTTGTTTAAAGTGAAAGTCATTGTGTTCCAATGTTGATTAGATCCCATTGACTTTCAAAATATGTTGTTTTGTGTTCCATAGAAGAAAGTCAGGCATACAGATTTGGTGAGTAAATGTAAATTTTCTTTTCAGGGTGAACAATGCCTTTAAATAACTTAAACTGCAAGACCTAATATGTCAACCAGCTTCCCATGAAAAGACAGGCAAGGTTTACCAGCAATATTTTGGTGTCCCCAATAGGGTTCAAGATGCTAACTGCTTGAGCCTTGCTACCGAGGTTGTAAGAAATTGCAATTCAATTCTTGAATTTGAATTGAGGTAGCAGACAAGATGCAGAATTCCAGCTTAAATTAATGCAAAGAAGAATTGAAATGAGTGGAAATTCAATAAAATTGTTTTTAGGGTGGGTGGACGAACGGACAGGCAGATAGATAGCTGTAACATTTATAAGTGTAGAATGTTAAAGCTCTTGTACCAATTC